CAGGGACAGGGCAGCAATCCTGTGCCAGTGCCCATCAGGGATAGGGCAGCAATCCTGTGCCAGTGCCCATCAGGGACAGGGCAGCAATCCCTGTGCCAGTGCCCATCAGGGACAGGGCAGCAATCCCTGTGCCAGTGTCCAATCCCTGTGCCACTGCCCATCAGGGCTGGGAGCTGGGGGTGTTTTGGGACTGTGCCTAAGGATGAAATGCTTGGCTCTGGGATTTCACTGCCAGGGCAGTCTTGTCTTGGGCACATATGGGATATTGGATATGGGATATGGGATATGGTCTTTGCCATTCTCACCCTGCTCTGAGTGAGGATGGATCTCCCTGCTCCAGCTCTTGATCTGGGATGTGAACACATCCCAGAAGGGGGTGGGAAGGGCGGGGAAGGGGGGTGCCAGGGCTGGGCAGTGGTGCTGGCTGCAGGCAGAGCTGTGGCAGCTCCAGCTGCCCTGCTCAGTGCTGGGCAGTGGTGCTGGATGCAGTATGAGCTCTGGCAGCTCCAGCTGCCTGCTCAGTGCTGGGCAGTGGTGCTGGATGCAGTGTGAGCTCTGGCAGCTCCAGCTGCCCTGCTCAGTGCTGGGCAGTGGTTTTGGGTGCAGTGTGAGCTCTGGCAGCTCCAGCTGCCTGCTCAGTGCTGGGCAGTGGCTCTGGATGCAGTGTGAGCTCTGGCAGCTCCAGCTGCCTGCTCAGTGTCAGTGCTGCTGCTCTCGTTGCAGTCCGAGGAGGATTTCCTGGAGAGGCGGAGGGAGGTGGAGCGGCTGCTGAGGAAGAACGCGGATTGGATCTGGGACTGGTCCAGCCGGCCCGAGAACATCCCGCCCAAGTGAGTGCTGCCACAGGTGCTGGAGAGCTCCTGCAGCTTGTGCTGCTGCTGCCTGAGCACACGGCTCACCTTCCTTCCCCACACCCAGGGAGTTCCTCTTCAAGCACCCCCGGCGCACCGCCACGCTCAGCATGAGGAACACCAGTGTCATGAAGAAAGGGGGGATATTCTCTGCAGAGTTCCTGAAGGTTTTCCTCCCATCCCTGCTGCTCTCTCACCTGCTGGCCATTGGACTAGGGTAAGGTTCAATTGAAAAAAAAAAAAAGATTTTTTTACCTGCTTTCTTTGAGGCCTGATGCTGATTCCCAATTCCCTCTTTGTCCAAGATGGTTATTCAGGATGTGCTGCCTGCCTGTGGTATTGCTGGATGGTTGAAGTTTCTGATTTTGTCAGTTTGGGAATTTCTCAGAACAATTAAGAGGCAGGGAAATGAGGAATTCTGTACACTGGAACTGTAGTCACACAACACTTGGCTCCACTGGAGATGAGACTCTTAATCTCACAACTAGGAGATCAGCAAAGCAAAAAGCTAATATTGAATAGATTTTAAAGTTTCACTGGCATAAATTTAAAAATATTTAATAATATTTTAAATTACTCAGCAGATGTTTTAATTCCCTCCTGGAAGGGATGGGGGATGTTTTCTTTCCAAAGGAGTGTGGGGCAGGTGCTGGGCCCTGGGGCTGGGAGGGCACCAGACCAGGGGCATTCACTGGGGCTCCAGGGCACCAGACCAGGGGGCAGTTATGGGGCTGGGAGGGGCACCAGACCCGGGGGCATTCATTGGGGCTC